AAAAAAAAAAAAAAAAATACCAGGATGTGTTCTGTGGTCACCATGGATTTATCCCAATTTCCTATAACTGTATTATTTTACATTGACACCTTGAGGGATAGTGATATCCTGAATCATCTAAAAATAATTCAGCTGTGTTTCCTAGTTATCAAGGGGTGAAAAAAGCATAATAATACTTTTTGGAGAAAAAACTCAGCAAGCAAAAATTAAAACAAAAACATTTTTTTATTAGCCCTCAATTAACCACAACTTTCAGTTACTCGTTATACCTGTATGCCTCAGGCATTCTATTAAGGTTTATTCTTTATAAATTCAATGTATTTTTTTATTTTTATTTTTTATTTTTCCCCCAAAGCCCCAGTAGATAGTTGTATGTCATAGCTGCACATCCTTCTAGTTGCTGTACGTGGGATGGGCCTCAGCATGGCCGGAGAAGCGGTGCATCAGTGTGCGCCTGGGATCTGAACCCGGGCCGCCAGCATCGGAGCGCGCACACCTAACCGCTAAGCCACGGGGCCGGCCCAAATTCAATGTAGTTTATTGTGATCACAGTAATAATAGGCTGTTCACTTTGTCCCATCCAAAGTCTTTGAATAATCTCTATTCTTCATACTTTTTCTCTTGTAGTTTTTTTCCCCCACACTCAAGGATTCAATAAATAGCACCCAAATTTATATAACTGGACCTGACCTAAAGTTCATTTCTGATTTTCAATTTCAAACCAGGCTTTTCTAAATGGAGTCATACCTCAAATTCATCAGTCTCTAAACCTTATCAGTTCCCTTCCCATTTCTTCCAACTTGAAGCATTATATAATGGCTTCATGAATGATTTTATTAATTTCACTTTTTTTCTCAACTTTCCTCCTATAAACCACTACCAAATTAATTTTCTTGAAACAATGCTTTGGACATCACATTCTCTTGCCCAGAAACTTTCAATGACTTGCAGTATCCATGTTATTTAAGTTATACACCAAGCAGTTCTCGGCTTGTTCTTACGTATTGCATAAATCCTCCATTCCAGTCAAACTGTTCTGCCTTCACCCTTAGCTCTTTCTCTTGCTTGAAAAGACATTCCTCTCCTTTCTCCTTCATAGCCTGTTCTTCAAGAACTGGTTTAAGTCCCATCTTCACCAAGCCTTTTTGCCAAGCCCTGGATGATAAAACCATACTGGAAACCAAGGATTCTCAAGATTTACAAGATTCATGGCTGGCTTCAGGGAGTGTTTGAACTCCTTGTAATTGTATTCAAAATTTGGTGTATATTTTATATATTTTTATATATATTATTATATATATTATTTTATGTATATATATATATATATAGGGGGCCATCGGAGTCTATAGCTTTCATCAGATTTTCAAAGAGTTGTGACCACCTTCCCCCCAAATTTAAAAATTACCTCTCTAAACTTCCGTGGCACTTCCCTGAAAAATTTGACATGTGTAATATCCTAAAAGCGTTATCTTCTTTTGGTATTTTTCAGCATATGGTAATTATCTTGTATTGATACTTATCTTTTAGTCTGTGCACTCTGCCTTCAAACAGATTGTATGCACACTCAAGGATACAAAATTCTTTGTGTCTTCAGATATTTATTTGAATACCCACTGTGCCATTCTGTTCTAGCCTTTGGGATGCATCAGTAAACAAAAATCCCTCACTCGTGGAGTTTATATTCTTGCAAAGAGAAGACAGGATAAACACTAAACACAAATAAGTCAATTGTGTACTGTAGTGATTGTGCTAGGGAAAAGAAGTAGAGCAAGATAAGGGGGATTGGGCATGTGTTGAGTAGTTTGCAGTTTAAAAAATGTGGTCAAGGTGAGCCTCATTGAGAAGGTGACATTTCAGCAAAGACTTGAAAGAGGTGAGGGAGTGGGCCATGGGAAGATCTGGGGAAAGAGCTGACCAAGCAGAGGAAAAAGCCAAGGCAGAGCCCTCAAGGCAGGAGTGTGCCTAGCATGTTCACGAAATAGCAAGATGGCCAGTGTGGCTGGAGCAGAGTGACCAGGGAAGCCGTGTCAGGGTCCATTTGTTTGCTAGTTTGAGAATAGACTAAGGGAAGCAAGAGTGGCAGGGAGAGGCCACTTTGGAGGCTCAGTGTGGTAATCCAGGCCAGAGGCGATGGAGGCTGGGGCTAGGGGTGGTAGTGGTTGAGACTGGGAGGGGTTAGAGAATCCTAGATATATTCTGAAGGTAAAGCCAATAGGATTTCCCAGCAGATCAGATGTGACTTGGGGGAGAAATGGAGGAGTCAAAAAGGATTCCAAAGTAGGCATAAGCAACTGGAGGATGGAAATGCTATTAACTGAGATGAGAAGGCTGGGGAGGAGCAGGTTTTGAAAGGAAGATCAGCAGTTCAGTTTTGAACATGTGAGATGTCTATTAGGCATTTAGAGGAAATGTCCAGGAGGCAGTTGAATAATCAAGTCTGGAGAGAAATCTGAGCTGCTAACGTGTATTTGGCAGTGATTAGCTGATAGATGGTATTTAAAGCCTGGATACCCACACCAAGGGAGTGAGTGTGAACAGTGGGACAATCTAGGAGGTTGGAGAGGAGAGGAATATTTGTGGATGACTTAAAGCTTACCATTTTTTTGCAACTGAATACATCTAGAGTATTCACTTTAGGCCAAACTTACTGTTTTTCACATTCAGAAATTAATCCATTAAGAGGCTGAAAAGCATGTTTTTTTAAAAAAACTTTTGAGGAGAATGAGTGTTTGCCGCAGTGACCCTATAAAGAGAAATAGGCCTAGACAGGCGTCTTTAGGAACCACATTTGAAATCTTTATTGACTCACTATGTAAAGTAACCAATCTCTCAGATTTATCTTGTTGGATGAGTTTATTCTATTACATTATGACTCAGTGCTTCCTTTTAAGACAGAAAATGTCATATAACATGGCATTCTTAATACAGCATTCCTAAACTTTCTGCCTCAAATTTGCAGAATGGTAAAACTGATGCACCATCAGGATTGCTAAATTTGATGTTTTTAGATACAAATTGATCTTGTACAAAACATCCTATTCTTTCTTAAATAACCATTATTAAGTGGATGCAATACTTAATATTTCACATGTATCCTGAAATATAAGTGCTTTTTAAAGATCTTTTAAGGTCTTCAAATACAGCACATTTTGTGAGAGCCTACTATGTGGGCATTATGTTAAGTGCTTATACATGCTCTCATTTTCATGCACAATCTTGTAAAGTAGGTACCATTATTCCCTTTTTACAAATGGAAAACTAAGAGTCAGAGTAATGGAATGACTTGTCCAAGTTACTACCCTAGAGCTAGGAATTAGCAGAAACAAAATTTAAATTCAGGTTTCTAACTATGAATGGATAAACAAAATGTGGTATAGCCACACAATCGAATATTATTCATCCATAAAAAGGAATGAAGTACTATTGCATGCTACAACATGGATAAACCTTGAAAACATTATCCCAAGTGAAAGAAGGCAGATATGAAAGGCCACATTATTGTATGATTCCATTTACATTCATCTGCCGAAACATCTTGGAGTAAAATGACAAAATATACTCATTTTTAAACTATATATTACTAAAAGGGGAAGAAGAGCAATTCAAGTAAAGAAAACATGTATTTTTTAAAATTGAAAGGTTTTTTAAAACTCAAAACTAGAAAAGACAACCCACAGAATGGGAGAAAATATTTGCAAATCATATATCTGATAAGGTACTTGTATGTGGAATATGTAAAGAACTCCTACAACTCAGGAAACAACCTAATTGTGAAATGGGCAAAGGATCTGAATAGACATTTCTCCAAAGAAGATATACCAGTAGTCAATAAGCACATGAAAAGATGCTCAACATCATTGTCATCAAAGAAATGCAAATCAAAACCGCAATGAGATTCTACTTCACACTCACTAGGATGGCTATAATCAAAAAGACAGATGATAACAAGTGGCGTGTATGTGGAGAAATTCAAACCCTCGTATACAGCTGGTAGGAATGTAAAACAGTGTAGCCACTTTGGAAAATAGTCTGGCATTTCTCAAAAGTTTAAACGGCTGCCATATGACTCAGCAATTCCACTCTTAGGTATATACCCAAGAGAAGTGAAAACATGTCCACACAAAAACTTGTAGACAAATGTTCATAGCAGTATTAGTCATAATAGCCAAAAAGTAGAAACAACCCAAATGTCCATTAACTGATGAATGGATAAACAAAATGTGGTATAGCCACACGATCAAATATTATTCTTCCATAAAAAGGAATGAAGTACTGTTGCATGCTACAACATGGATAAACCTTGAAAACATTATCCCAAGTGAAAGAAGGCAGATACAAAAGGCCACATATTGTATGATTCCATTTACGTTCATGTGCTGAATAACATGCTTTGGTCAATGACGAACCACATATGACAGTGGTCTCGTAAGATTACTACCATATAGCCTAGGTGTATAGTAGGCTATACCATTCTATAGCCTATATATCCTCTATAGTAGGCTATAGAATTGGGCAAACTCTATACAGTGCCCAGTTTATTTTTCACTGAGATACAGTGCTTGCAGTTCCTCATACCTGTCACCCCACAGGTCTGGAGTTTGTGTAAGTTTACTATAAGATGTTCATACAACAACAAAATGGCCTAATGATGCATTTCTCAGAATGTGTCCCCGTCGGTAAGCAGTGCGTGATTGTATGTGAAATGTCAAGAACAGGCAGATCTATAGAGACAGAAAGTAGGTTAGTGGTTGCCTAGAGATGGGAGAGGAGGAGTGACTGCTAATAGGTATGGGATTTCTTTTTGGGGTCACGAAAATGTTCTAATATTGATTGTGGCGATAGTTGCACAGTTCTGAATATACTAAAAACTACTGAGTTACATGCTATAAATGGATGAATTGTATTCATCCATTGTTCAATTCATCCAGTTGTTAAAACTAGAGCAAACTCTATACAGTGCCCAATTTATTTTTCAAACAGCTACTAAATTATTAGGAATAAATACTTATTAGGTTGTTTGGACCTACTACTGAGACGCTAAGGACTCTGAGAACCAAGGAAGTTTGGGAATCTCTGCCATAAGCCATGAACCTCCCTCAATTTCCAAGTTATACCTGCATTTTTATCTCTGAACCCATTGTTACTCTTTTCTTCTAGAATCAAAGGAAGAGGTATCTCTTCTTTTCAAAACTAATTTCTCCACCATGCTCTTGTAGTAAGTCCCTCCTGTCTTGTCTAGGACGCCATGCTCCAGCAGCGATTTACCCTGTCTCCTGCGCACAGTCTCACACCGCACGGCCTCCACTGCCTCCTTCCATGCAGTATAAACATGCTGAGCAAGGAATAGTAGCAGTAGACAAGAAACAGTGGTCAGTTCTGCCTGAGAGTTTGACAGTAGGCACTGGTGTCAACAAAATTGCCCTCTTTTCTCCACTTAAAAACAAAACACCTCGGGCCACCCTGGTGGCGTAGTGGTTAAGTTCGCATGCTCCGCTTCCGTGGCCTGGGGTTCTCAGGCCCAGATCCCTGGCTCGGACCTACACGCTGCTCATCAAGCCATGCTGTGGCAGCATCCCACAAAATAGAGGACGATTGGCACAGATGGTAGCTCACGAACAATCTTCCTCAAGCAAAAAGAGGAAGATTGGCAACAGATGTTAGCTCAGGGCAAAGCTTACTCAGCAAAAAAAAAAAAAAAAAAACCTCTACCTACTGCCCCATCTCTCTGCTCCCAGCCTTAAAAGATTCACAGCTATATGCTATCTCCTCATATAAATACAACTCCATGTGTGCTGTCTTAGTTGTCTTAGACTCTACGTGGGTTCCAAACCATAGTAATGAAGGAAAAAATATGAGAAGAAAATGAGAAAATCCATTATCACAAGGCTGTGACATTCTGTCACTCACACAGAACCAGTTGAATTATTACTTAGAGTATTCTTAGAGCTGCACCCAAATTAGGACATCACTTTTTGTAGATAGGACTTGTGCTAGCTTTGTTTTTCATTGTTAAGCTCCTCCAGTTAGAGGTTCAATGACAGCCTGTCCAAGCAGCCCAGTGAACATCGTGGGTTTTATCTCCTTAGAGACTAGAGCAAAGGCATTCAAGCTTAATAGCATCAATAACAATTTCTAACTTTTTCTATCTGAGAACCTGAAACAGGAAAGAGAGAAAGGGAGATTGAAAAAAAGAGTTGGTATGCTATATGTAAAGAAGAAATTAACGTGCTGCTTATGCATAACGAGAAGTACTTCTCAGTTCTCTCTGGAGAGCCTCATCAACATTATTGGGCTGTTGAGAAGCAGCCAGTAAAGCCAAGTGATTTCTAGCTCTAGGCTTCTGTAAAGTAGTGGTTGGAGGCTGTGACAGGAAGTAAGATGCATTTGTTAATTTAAAAATCCATTTTGGGAGTTACTGTTTGGGAAAGTAAAAGTACAGTTTGTAATATTAAGAAGATCTAGTCTAGGACAGGGTAGGAAGGATTCTCTAAAAGATGATCTTAAAAGGAGAATGTTGCTGTTACCAACCCAGTTAAACTCTGAGTTTACTGAGAGGAGGAACCATCCTTGTTACTCTTCAGAATTAGAAGAATCCTCAGTATATCGGGAAGCCCGTAGTGAATGCTCAACACATACCCAATTTCTAGTTTTCTCCTTTTCCATCTTCCTCTTATCTGTGTCTTTTTTTTCTTTTTCTCCCTGGTGTTTCCGTTTCTGCTCCCTTACTGAGCTACAGTGCTTGTAGTTCCTCACACCTGTCACCCCTCGGGTCCATGCCTTTGCATGAGCTGGACTCCCTTTCCCCTGTGTTCATCAGAAGGGAGCGAAGGCTGCCTCGTCCTCTAACCCTAACCTGAAAATCGTCTCTGCCTGCTATGCTCTTTACTCTGCCTCTTCATCCCTCTGCCTCTTCATCCCTCTGCTTCCTCAGAGAGCCTTTCCGTGACACCCCACATCTACATTACATCACCTCATTATTTTCTCAGCATTGGTATTTCTTCTATAGCACTTGCCACAGTTTCTAATAATATATATCCACACATATTTATGTTGATGTGAATAGCATCCGCCTCCCCCAGTAGACGAGAAGCTTTTTGAGAACAGGGACCCGGTCTCCTTTGTTCAGCATTTGTATCTAGATTGGGGCCTGACATGCAATAGGCCCTCAGGATATAGTTGCCAAATGAATGACTCACCTCCCTTAAGAAACATTCTCTAACTTTTCGCACTTTGTGTTAATACTTAACTTTATTACGACATTTATTCCACTGCTGTCTCATCTCACTAGATTGTTAGCTACACATGATTGCAGTTCACATGCTTGAGAACATGCTCATTCATGCTTTCTTTTCTCCTACCTCACCCCTGAGGTTAAACTCTGCTGTAGGTCACATCGCTTGTGCTTTCAGATAGCTCTGCTTCTAGCTTTTTTTGGGGGGAGGAAGGGGGTTCAGCCCCTTGTTTATTTTATGTATTTGGCTTTCAGGTAAATATCTATTTAGCATGCCCATTGTTCAGTCACTGCCTTAGCAGCTCGGTCCACGCCCCTCTTCCCAAAAAACAAAAACAAAACAAAACACTGTCCTGTCCTTGGAGAATAATCTTTCTTCAGGGTCACATTTCAATATAGTAGGATAGAATATTGAATTTGCTGGAGAAGTTTTAACAGCATAAGAATTCTCAACTGAATATTTATTGTGGCTCTAGATCTGTTTTTTGGATAAGAAAAGATTATGAACTTGAACATTGAACAAGTTATTTTTCTTATTACCCTTTCTCATATAGAACAATGCTTTATAGGTAATTGGTGCTTAGTAACTGTTTAGTGGATTGAATATGTACCCAAAAAAGAGCACTAGACTTAAAGTCAAAAGACATGACATGAATTATACTCATGATCTCATTGTTTAATGTTGTGTTGGAAGTGCTAGCCAGTGCAGTAGGTAAGTGTTCAAAATTAAATTACCATTATTTATCTATGACTATAAGTTGGAAAACCTAAGAGGATCAACTGAAAAACTCTTTAAGAAACAATAAGACAGTATAATAGGGTAGCAGGTTATAAAATTAATATTCAAGCATCAGTAACTTTCTCGTGTCAAAATAGTAACTAATTTAAATATAACAAAAGAAAATATCACACTCACAATAACCAAATAAGATATAGGAATAAACTCATGGTTGCTAGTACCCATCACACAGGGAAGTAGGGGCCTTTAATCTCATTGACTGCAGTGTAAATGGCGCCCCCTGGGGTTGAGCTGCACAGTATCTCTGAATATACTTAGAAGGTTTGCAGAAACTACTTGAAGAATACTATAAAACTATGAAGAAACTAAAATAATTAAAACACCTTGTTCTTGGGTAAGAAGAACCAACATTGTAAAAATGCCAGTTCTTTCTAAATCAATGTATAAATTGAATGCAATCCAAATCTAAATCAACAGAATTTTCTTTAGAATTTGTCAAAATTATTCTAAATTTCATTTGGAAGAAAAATATTTAGGAATCACTATGGAAAGTTCTGAAAAAGAAGAGTAACGTTGGGGGAGTACTTGCCTCCCAAATATTAATATGTATTATAAAACCTCTTTAGGGCCGGCCCCGTGGCTTAGCGGTTAAGTGCACGCTCTCTGCTACTGGCAGCCCGGGTTCGGATCCCGGGCGCGCACCGACGCACCGATTCTCCGGCCATGCTGAGGCTGCGTCCCACATACAGCAACTAGAAGGATGTGCAACTATGACATACAACTATCTAATGGGGCTTTTGGGGAAAAAAAGGAGGAAGATTGGCAATAGATATTAGCTCAGAGCCGGTCTCCCTCAGCAAAAAGAGGAGTATTAGCATGGATATTAGCTCAGGGCTGATCTTCCTCACCAAAAAAAAAAAAAAAAAACTCTTTAATTAAAACATCAGTGGAATACAGTAGAGTACAGAATTAGACCCCGATAAAAATGGGCATATGATAAAGATGGCAGGGTTAATTTAATAATAGGTATTGGAACAACTACCTAGCCATTTGTAATAAAGTCAATATGAATTCCTACTTCCCTCCTCATTCCAAAATAAACTCCAGATGGATAAAGATTTAAATATAAAAATTAACTCTGAGAGTCCAGACAGAAACTATTTGAATAAATATATTTGTAATCTTGAAATGGGGAAGGCTTTTCTAAACATAGCTCAAAACAAAGAAGCCATACGATATTTTTATTCTGTATCTTGCATGGCACAAAACACCATTTAAAAAGACAATAAACTTGGAAAAAATATTTGTAATACATATGGCATGGGGATAACATCCCTAAAAATAAAAACACTTTTTTTTTTTGAGGAAGATTGGCCCTGTGTTAACATCTGTTGCCAATCGTCCTCTTTTTTTTTTTCTTTTTTCTCCCCAAAGCCCCAGTGCATAGTTGTGTATCATAGTTGTAGAGTTGTAGCTCTTCTGTATGGGATGCTGCCTCTGCATGGCCTGATGCATGGTGAGTAGGTCCGTGCCCAGGATCTGAACCAGTGAAACCTGGCTGCCAAAGCAGAACGCGCAGACTTAACTGCTATGCCACCGGGCCAGCCCCAAACACTTGAAATCAAATAGAAAGGAAAAGTAACCCAGTAGAAAAAAATAGGCAAAGGACATAAGCAATTCACAAAAGCTGCATTTATCAGATTTTTTGTTTATGACTTCTGAGTTTCCTGTTATGCCTAGTAAGAACTTCCCCACTCCACAATGCTCAACTTTTCTAATAATGAAAGAAATGCAAATTAAAACAAAATTTTTTTTACTATTACATTGGAAAATATCAGTTATCAATATAAAATTGGTAATAATGTTGCCATAGATTTTTGTGTTGGCAAAAGTATTAAGAAACAGGCACTTTTACTTCCCATTGGTAGGAATGTAAATTGCTATTATTTAGAGGGCAATTTGATAATCACTGTCAAAATATTTATTGTAACTATGTGATTTGACTCAATAACTCCAATTCTAGGAATTTACCCTCACAAATGTACAAAGTTTATATAAGAATTTTCACTGAAGCATTGTTCTTAATAGTGAAAAATTGGAAGTTACATACATACCTATCAGTAAGGAATTAGATAAATAAATTATGGAAATGCCATATACTGCAGCTGTTTAAGAAATACATACATAAACCCATAAGTACTAACATGGAAAGATGTCCAAAATATATTAAGTGAAAAACAGCAAGTTGCAGATGAGTATGTATAATATGATCCCATTTCTGAAAAGGTAAAACTTATATATACATATAGAGTTGTTTTTTTTTTTTTTGTGAGGAGATCAGCCCTGTGCTAACATCCGCCAATCCTCCTCTTTTTTTGCTGAGGAAGACGGCCCTGGGCTAACATCTGTGCCCATCTTCCTCTACTTTATATGGGACGCCGCCACAGCATGGCTTGCCAAGCAGTGCGTCGGTGCGCGCCCGGGATCCGAACCAGCGAACCCCGGGCCGCCGCAGCGGAGTGCGCGCACTTAACCGCTTGCGCCACCGGGCCGGCCCCCATATAGAGTTTTTTAATCCCTGAATTTGAGAACTGACTTCATTACTTGCTTTTTCACTTAGAAAGTAACCTCGCTGAATCTATTTTCTTGTGCCTAAAATTAGAGTATTATATACCTCTTATGTGTGTGAACACCTCAAGAGACAAAATGTATATTAAAGGTCTTTGTAAATGGTAATACACTATATAAATATATGGTAATCAAACAAAAGTCATTAATGTAGATGATTTCCATTATCGTCTATAGTCTAATAAAGCTAATAGACCTATAATTATTTTTGAACTTGATTTAACACTGTAATGCTTATTATCTTTTTGGTCTGCATAAGCAAGTCTTAAGTTTTTAGGAGCTAACAGACCCCTTTGAAGACCCCATGAAAGCTTTGAACCCTGCCCCCAACCCAAATGCATACACATACCAAATTTTACATACAACTTTAAGGGTTTCATAGATACTTCCTCAAAACAAAAAAATAATTCCATGGATTCCTGCTATCAATTCTAGTCTTCAAGATGCATAAAGAAGAGGAAAACATTTCGATGCTATTATAGATTGACTTGTGTCCTCCCTCCCCCAAAGATATATTACAGTTCTGACCCCCACTACCTGTGAATTTGATGCTGTTTGAAAATATGATCTTTGCAAATGTACTCAAATTAAGATGACATCATTAGGGTGGGCCCTAATCCTGTATGACTGATGTCCTTATAAGAAGAAAAGGACACACAGAGACCCCTGAGGGGAGAACACCAGGTGAGGTAAAGGCAGCGATTGAAGAGCTGCAGCTGTGAGCCAAGGAACACCCAGATTGCCAGGCGGCACACTGCCAGAAGCTAGGAATAGGCAAGGAAGGATTCTCCTCTACAGGTTTCAGAGAGAACATGGCCTTGCCTGTACCGTGATTTCAGACTTCTAGCTTCTAGAACTGTGAGACAGTAAATGTCTGTTGTTTTAAGATACCCAATTTGTGGTACTTGTTATAGCAGCCCTACAAAACCAATACAGATGGTATACGTAATCAGGATATCTTAAGAAAAGTGAATTTTAGATATGAAAAACATGCAGATTGGGAAAAAAAGGTAAAATTGTCATTATTTACAAATGATATTGTGGAAAATGCAACAGAATGAACAGAGAAACTATTACAGACAATAAGAATTCAGAAAGATAACTAGGTACAAAATTACTCTGCAGAAATCAATGTATTTTATGTAGACAAGTCATAACTAGTTAGCAGATATGTGGAAGTCTCCATTTATAATAGCTATGAATAAGATAGAATACCTAGGAATATACTTAATAATAACTGCAAGATCTTTATGGTAAAAACTTTAAAATGCTACAGAAGGATTCAGAAGAACAACTACACAAGTAGAAAGGCGTACCATGTTCTTTACTAGAAAGACTCAACATCGTAAAGGTATTAGTTCTTCCTAAATTAATCTATAAATTTAATATGATTCCATTAAATTCCAAACCATGTTTAGAAGCTAGACAAGATGATTTCAGAGTTTTAAGTGGAAAAAGTAAAAAACAAGAAGAGCCATGAAAATTCTAAAATAAAGAATAAATGGGGAATCACCTCTATCAAATATTAAAAGATATGACAAAACTATAATAAAACAGTGTAGCATAGGCACATGAATAGACAGATCAACAGAACAAGAATTCCAGAAGTAAACCCAAATACACATAAGAATTTTGTATGTGCTTTTAAAAATGTTATTTAAAATCTGTAAGTAAAAGATGAATGTTCAGTAAATAGGATTTGGACACCTGGGTAGCTATCTGGGGGAAAAAAATTCCAAATGGATGAAAAATGAAAGTATAAACAAGAAAAAATAATAGAAGCAATGAGGGGAGACATTTTTAATAATCTCAGAATGTAGAAGGTCTTTCTCAATACAACACAAGACCCAGAAGCCATAGAAGAAATCTGACCACATTAAAAAATGTTTTCCCCCCACTACCTGTAGACACTGTAGTCCCAACCACTATGATGGCATTGTGGTCCCTCCCCAGCCTGAGAAGGGGCCTTGCAGGGAACCCTCCCTCCAAAACAAAACAAAAAGGAAAAATATAAACAAGAAAATATATATTTCAGCACAGACAATCTTCTTCTGCTTCCTCTGTTTCTAACACCCCCAAACTCAGATGTGGTAGAGCTCAGCCTAGGCCCAAAGCCCCACTAACTGAGCACCTAGGGAAGGGGGGGACACAGTGGAGGGTGTGGTTGCCTTGTTTGTTCTCCCTCCCGAGCTTTCAGCCATGTCCAGTCGGGAAAGCAGAAGTCCCAGCAGGTTGCCTGTGAGGTGAGGGGCCCCGGCCCTGCTCCCGCCGCTGTGTCATCCAAGCCTCACTGAATGCACCCTGCCCAGCTGCCGCTCTCCTGCCTTTATATAAAGTCTCTGAATCACCTTTGCAGCATAGAAAATACAAGTGTTTGCTTTGGTTAAAAAAAAAAATGTTTTCCTTTCTGATAAACTACTCACTATAAGCAAAATCAAGAAACTGGAAAAAGTAAAGATCTCCTTGAAATCAATTAAAAAAAAGACTAGCAGTCCAGTGGGCCAAGGATGTGAGCAAACACTTAAGAGGGAAAAAATGGAAACATGTCTTTCAACCATGAAAAGATGCTCCATCTCAAACTTAAGAAAAGTGTAAATTAAAATAGCATAGATAAAATATTTTCCGCCTTTTTTTCAAAGTCAAAAAGTTTGCTAACTGTTTACAAGATTTGAAGAAACAGATACTCTCATATATTGCTGATGGTGGTGCAAATTGGTAACAAGTTCAATAGAGAATAATATGGCAATAACTAACACAAATCTAAAACTCTTATCTTTAGCAATCCCACTTCTTGGAGTTTATCCTACATGTATCCTTGCAGATCTAGATTCCTCATCCTAGCAGCAGTCTGAAAGTTTATTCTCTGGAAAAGGCAAAACAGAGTTTCAGTACAGGAGACACTAAGCCATATTAAGGTCACAAGTAGTATATTGAAAATGGGGATTAAGTGAGCATGTGATTCCTGAATGCTTGGATCCTCATCCTTTTCTCCCCACTAGGCTCCCAGAATACTGACAACCAACCTTTACTCTCCCTGCAGAAATTTTAGAAGATTCTTTTCTGGAGAATCTGACAATTCCCAAGATATAGGCATAAGAATTTCCTCAACAAATGGCCCATACAGATTACCCTACAGGGAACCCGAAAGTCTAAAAGTCCTAAAAACCATGTGCTCAGATCTTCCAAACAGTTTTTACTTCCCGGCTCTTAATCATAAGCAGACAACAAAGGCTTATCCACACATCTGAGCAAAACCGCTAAATGTGAATTTTAGAGATCAAAACAAATGAACAGAAAAAAAAGCAATGTTGGAGAAAACAGGCTATGCAAAGAGATGAAAATTTTAAAACAAAAGCCAATATTCTCAGATAAGTAGATATTGCATCCATGAAACAAAAACAGGATGACATTTTTGTAAGAAACCTTAGAAAAAAAAAAGATCTCTTGGATATTAAAAACATGATAGCAGGAATAAAAACACTGGAAGGTTTGGAAAAGAAAGTTGAGAAAATCTCCCAGAAAGAGCAACAAAACAAAGAGGAATCATAGGAGAAAAAGAGATAAGAAAAAGGGCCACCCTAAGAGTTCCAACATCCAAACACTGGAGGAAATCATCCACAAATAGTCAAGAAAAATGTCCAGAACTAAAGGACATGAGTTTACAAGGGAAATGAGCCCACTAAGTACCCAGCAAAATGGATAAAAATAAATCCATACGAGGCACAACATTGTGAAATTTTAGAACGCTTGGAAAAATGAAAAGATCCTACAAGCTTGCAGAGAGAGAAGATGTCACATAGAAAGGATCAGAAGTCAGAAGGGCTTCAGACCTGTCAGCACCTACACCAAAAGCCAGAACACAAGCTGGAATATAAACTCTTTGACTTTGTCTCTGTATCTTAGTCTCTGTTGTTCACTGTATCCCAAGTGTTTAGAGGGAGTACCAGGCATGTATTTGGTTCTCAATAAATATTTGTTGAATGAAAGAGAACAACGAAGAAATACTTTCAGAATTCTGAGGAAAAGTTTCTTCCAGCCTACAAGTAAACTCATGCAAAATATCAATCAAGTATGGGGGTAGAATAAAGACATTTTTGGACATGTAAAGTCTCAAACAATTTATGCTCCATGTATCGTTTCTCAGGAAGCTATGAGAGGATGTGCTCCAGCAAAATAAGAGAGTAACCAAAAAAGGCAAGCAATACAGGAAATGGGAGATCTAATGCTGGGGCAGAGACAGGGAACTCCTAGGAATATTCACCTAGGAATATGGTGAAAAGAGATCCCAGGATAATAGCTCTGCATCAGATGTAAAGGGCAGCCAGTTCAGATTGGAGCAGTCACTAATGCCCACTGCCACTGTAATACCATTTTGCCTCAGAGCAGAGTGCCCTGGTTATCCCTGCTCGGATTCTTATCTTCAGTTAGTTGGCCTGGACCGTTCATCTCCTGTGGTAACCAAGTTGTAATTGGGCACATGGCTGTCCAGATGGACTGCATTTCTCACCTTTGCCTGAGGATAAGTATGGCCATGTGACTAAAGTCTTACCTTTGGAGCCTAAGTAGAAGTGACGTGCCTCTTCTGGGTCTGGGTCTAAGACTGTAGGGTGCCTTTTCCATCATTTCTTTCCCATTCCTGCTGGCTGGCACCCAGAAGTGCCAGTGACACAGCTTCAGCCACACAGATAGTGAAATGCCCTAGTGACAGTGGAAAACAGATGTAAAAAATCAGGTTCCCGGAGGCCAGCGTCATGGCCTAGTGGTTAAGTTCAGCGTGCTCTGCTTCGGCGGCCCGGGTTCGCGAGTTCGGATCCCGGGCACGGACCTATACCACTCATCAGCTGTGCTGTGGTGGCGACCCACATACAAAATAGAGGAAGACTGGCACAGATACTAGCTCAGGGCTAAGCTTCCTCAAGCAAAGAAAGAGGAGGATTGGCAACAGATGTTAGCTCAGAGCGAATCTTCCTCAGCAAAAAAGATAGAAAGAAAAAGCTTCCCTAAAGGACCAGGTAGAGCAAGAAATTGCCCCACCAACCTGGACTATTCGTATCAGACTAGGAAAAACATCTTCATTTCTTAATGCAAAATCAAATATCTTTGTTACAGCACTTCATCTTCCCCCCCAACTAATACAAAGTGATAACACAAAGAACGGAGGTAGCTACCTCAGGGAGAGGCACACAGGGAGCTTCTAAGATCTGGTAATGTTTTGTTTCTTAACCTGAGTGATGGGTACACTGGTACTGGTTTTATTCTTTTAATCATACCTATATATTTTACACACACTCTTTTGTATGTATATATGTGTGTATGAATCATTCCACAATTTTAAACAGAAAGTTAAAAATACAGTAATAATGAAATAGCATTTGACCCTTGCCATATTGGCAAATATTTAAAAGGTTGATAATATCCAACACTGGGGAGTGTGTGGCAAAACTAGCATCTTCCTAAGTTTTGAAAGGAATGTGAATTGATGTAAACTTTTTGAAGTATAATTTTATATTATCTATGAAAAATTTAAATGCACAGAGCAAATCAACAAGAAAAAGACAACCCAGTTTTTAAAATGGGCAAAAGACTTGAACAGACAGTTCACAAAAGATAACATTCAAATGGCCAATGATCATATGGAAAGGTGCTCAATGTCATCAGTCACCAGAGAAATACAAAATAAAAGCACAGTAATACTCTTGCACTCCCACCAGCATGGCTGAAATTAAAAGTGCTGAAAAACTGAGTGTTGGTGAGAAAATGGAGCAACTGAAAGTGTAAATTGGTACAACCACTTTGGAAAATGGTTTTGCAATATCTAAAACTAAGCACAAATATGAACTAAAACACATAAACCCTATGACCTAGCAATTCCACTCCTAGGTATATATCTGAAATGCATACTATGTTCATCAAAAAAATATATACAAAAATGTTCTTAATAGCTTCATTTATAATAGCCAAAAACTGGAAACAAATGTCTATCAGCAGTAGAACAGTTAAATAGATTGTGGTATATTCATACATTTCTCTGGAATACTGCATAGCAATGAAAAATAACTATTGCTACACACAACAACATGGATGAATCCCACAGACATAATGTGAAGTGGAAGTAGCCAGACACAAGAGTATATATTGTATAATTCCATTTATATGAGGTTCAAAAGCAGACAAAACTAATCAGTGGCGTCAGACTAGTAGTTATCTTTGAGGGAGTTAATGATTGAGAGGAGACACAGAGTTTTCTGGGGTGCTGGAAATTCTGTATTCTGATCTGGGTGTGTACATATGTAAATTTTATCAAGCTCTACACTTAGGATTTTCATACTTTATGTAAGTTATACCTCAATAAAAAAGTAAAAAATCTAGTTGTCATAAAAATCAAAATAAATGAAATGTAATACCCATAGCCCTACTAAAGTCAAGACAAACAAGAATATCAGTTGTCTCTACTGCAGTTTAACATTGTACTGAAGGTATTAACCAAAGCAATCAGATAAGAGGAAGAAATTAGATGTATAAATATTAGAAAAGAGGAAGTAAAACTCTTACTATTTGTTAATGATATGATCAAATACTTAGAAAACCCAAGAGAGGGGCCGGCCCCGTGGCTTGGTGGTTAAGTGAGCGCGCTCCACTGCTGGCGACCCGGGTTCGGATCCCGGGCTCGCACCGACGCACTGCTTCTCTGGCCATGCTGGGGCCGTGTCCCACGTGCAGCAACTAGAAGGATGTGCAGCTGTGACACACAGCTATCTACTGGCTTTGGGGGGAAAGGATAAATAAATAAAATCTTAAAAAAAAAAAAAAAAAAAAAAACCCAAGAGAATCAACCAGAAAAGCTGCTGTTAAGAGAATTCAGTGAAGTGATAGGGTATAAAATTATCTACAGGAATCAGAAGGCTTTATGCACACAAATACACAAACAGCATTACAGTGAACATCCACATACGTGTCCTCTCATGGATCCCTGTGAGCATTTCCCTGGGGTATGTGCTCAGGAGCAGGGTTGCTGGGTCAGAGGGTTCATGTATTCTTGACTTGACTGAACTGCCAGATGACTTTCCAGAGCAGCTGTACCAGCTGACACACCTGCCTGTGCCAGTATTTGCCATGTCCCCCCTAGAGAATGTGCTTCTCAAAACTAGGGGCTAAACCAAGAAAGAAGACATGGGATCTAGAAAACAAGGATTCTAACTGAGGAAAGTTGGTGAAAGGAATCCCCAGGATGTGCAGCAGGCCTAGGTTGGAGCAGAAGGATGCAGGGCTGCAGGAAGGAGGATTCCAGGAATTTAACAGGTGATCCACTGCATTTAAGTGTTTTGAAAATATTATATTGATAGGTATTTGAAGGATCTGTTGGAGACTTGAGGAAAATTTTTTATAAAACAAAAACTATGCAAATGTAAATGCAAGGCAGTTATTAACAGAATAAATTTTTAAAAAGGGAGGAGCATATAATGGTACACTTCTTGACTTGTCATTGAGTAATTCTTACATATCCTTAATAATGTAAACACTGATTATTGATTTAACAAAAATTTATTGTAAACTATAATGAGAGGATGGGAAGCAGAAGCAGGGATTGTTGGTGGTAAAAGAGCTAAGTCTTCATCTATCATAACAGGAAGTCAGTAGTATCTATTGGTAATTTTTTGTGTGTGTGTGAGGAAGATCAGCCCTGAGCTAACATTCATGCTAATCCTCCTCTTTTTGCTGAGGAAGACCGGCTCTGAGCTAACATCTATTGCCAATCCTCCTCCTTTTTTTCCCCAAAGCCCCAGTAGATAGTTGTATGTCACAGTTGCACATCCTTCTAGTTGCTGTATGTGGGACGCGGCCTCAGCATGGCCGGACAAGTGGTGCATCGGTGCGCGCCCAGGATCCGAACCCGGGCCGCCAGCAGCGGAGCGCGCACACTTAACCGCTAAGCCACAGGGCCGGCCCCTCTATTGGTAATTTTTAAAATAGCTATATAGGCCTATTATTTGGAACCTGCTAAAAGAGTTGAAAGTAGTTGCTTGTGTTTAGCAGAGCAGAGGAAAGGGGAGGTAAGGTAGGGGACTGCTCTTTTTCATTATAAGCTTTTTAGAACAATATTATTTTTAAACTATGTATATATTTGAAAAAATTAATTTAAAAATAATTTTAGGTTGTGATAAGAACTATGAAAGCAATAACAAGTTCTGAAGATTCTGCTATATGCTAATAATCCTAATCTATAAATTTGGAAAACAAGGATTCAGGAAAGGAGTTTACAATCTGTGCAGGAGATATAGATTCAGGAACATTAGAAGACGAGAGCTTAGAGGTCTGCATTCACAGTGACAGTAGATCAAGCCTACCGTTAGAAAAATGTTCATCAATATCCTGAAACAAACTCATCAAGTTGTAGACATTAAATAAGTACAGTGTTCTGTGTGTCAAACATACCTCAATAAAGTGGTTTAAATATATAGATTCTGAAGCAGCTACTCAACAGCAATACAGATTTACAGTATATATTCCACCAAAAATGTCAATCAGATTTCAGTGAACTAGGAAGCATTCTCAATCTTTTTATGACATTGGTAATAGAGGAGCATTAAATTTTTGCCTTTGCACATCCAGAAAACTTTTTTTTTTTTTTGGATGAGGAAAATTGTCCCTGAGCTAACATCTGTGCCAATCTTCCTCTATTTTGTATGTGGGACACTGCCACAGCATGGCTTGATGAGGAGTGTGTAGGTCTGTGCCTGGGATCCAAACCTACGAAGCCCGGGCTGCCAAAGCAGAGTGCACGAACTTAACCACTCTGCCACTGGGCCAGCCCCCCAAAAATGTTTTAATCTGAATAATCTTCAGGACTCCCCCAGAAATCTTCAGTTATCCAGATATCCCTGTATGTGCCTTAAACCCAGAGAAAACCCTGCAAGTAAGCATTAGCAGTCTTACAAAATGGATCTATAACCTGGAAGTATGAGCTGACTATGTATGGTTATGTCACATCTTATACCAACTCGATAGAACCATTATTGGCAGTAGGTGAATTATTGGTCCCTCTTGTAGTTGTATACATCCAAACCTTCTGCCCTGGCCTCAAGCTGGTCAGGTTTTTCTTTACCCCTTTGTTTCAGATTTGGCCATGTGACTTGCTTTGGTCAGTGCTGGCAAACATGATGTGAGCAGAGGCTCGAAATGTGCTTGTGCATGGGCACAAGCTTGCTCTCTTACACTCCAGTAATCTGCCATGAAAAGAGCTTCCCTCTGATAACTTCAGCCCAGGTCCCAGATAAGATGTGTGGAACAGAGCTGCCTCCATCAACCTGCAGCCTGAAGCAGAGCTGCCCCCTCTAACTCTCATATATGTGGGCAAGAAATAAATGCTTATTGTTGTATACGTCTGAGCTTCTGTGATTGTTTGTTACCCAGCATGATTGCGTCAATATCTGACTAATAATTACTCCAAGTTAATCTTTCCTTTGATCTTACTAATACATGGCACAGAGCTGAAAACCGAGATCGTATTTTGGTCTTTAATAGACAGTGTCACAGGTTGGTTCTCCGGGAAGCAGATGCTGAGGTGGAGTTATGAGTACAAAAGGTTTATTGAAAAATAACACCTGTGAAGGAAAGAGGGCGCCATCAGAAGATAGTGCAGACCTGGCAGAGTCTCTGCCAGCCCAACACGGAGCTCCACAGTGAAGATTGCTTGATAGAGGAGTCTTGCATCAGGGGGAGATGGCTAGACCCTGGTACTGCTATCTGGCTCAGTCAACGACTAGGGACTGAGGAGGAAATACAGTGCCCTTGGCTGCCATGCCCTGTCAGTCATTGGCTGGGAGCTGCCCTGAAAAGAGCATGACCTCAGTTTGAAAGGTGAGATGGACCCTGAAGGAGATAACAGCTGGAGCCTGCCAGCTCACTACACTCCGTGCATCTGGGCAGCTAGTCCTTTCTTGACGGGGGATCTAAGCAGCACATCTCATGTCCTCCAGAGATAGCTTTAAGACAATAGAAGTATAAAAGATAATGAACGGCATGGAAAGCTAGTGCACTATTTGAGAACCTAGAAGTGTATAAATATCGTACAATTCAATAGTGCTACCAGTTCCTTTTCCGGGTGTAAAACAATACAGAACTCTTGATTTTTACCCCTAAACTTATTCTTCCCCAGTCCTTTGCATCTCCATAAATGACAGCACCATCAACCACATAATTGCTTAGGTCAAAAGCCTAGGTATAAAGAAAGAGCTTTTGGAAATTAAAAAGTATAATTGCCAAATTTAAAAATATGATTGCTCGTTGTACCAGGCCATAATGAAAAATGAGGATATTTATTGAAATCAACAAATTCATCAAAAGGAAGCTGGCCTTCATGTACATCTGTGGAACATACAGCCTTTTCTTTTTTATAATTTTTATTTATTTATTTATTTTCCCCCAACTACCTATTTCCCCACTAGGTAGTTGTCCATCATAGTTTAACATCCTTCTAGTTGCTGTACGTGGGACGGGGCCTCAGCATGGCGGGAGAAGTGGTGTGCTCGTTGGTGCGCGCCTGGGATCCGAACCCCGGGCCGCCAGCAGCGGAGCGCGCGCACTTAACCGCTAAGCCACGGGGCCGGCCCCAGCCTTTTCTTATTTCATCTTTCTTCTGCTTTTGGTTTCCTGTCTGGAGGTGTCCTGAGTCCACAGACTTCTTTATCTACTGTGCTAAGTTTCATTATCTATTTTTCTTGGCTATTATGATTCTTTTCCTTCATGATTTTGACAATAAGAATTTTTAGTGTCCATTATGATATAATGATAATTTTTAATGTTTTAAACTTTCTGTCCATCTTCTTTCTTTCACGTTATGTGTTTTGCTTCCACTACGTTACCTCCTTATCATAACTGAATTTTGGTGTGATCAATAATTTGGAAAGAATATACAAAATTAATCTGAAATTAAGACAAATAACAATTCGAATGTGTTTCAGCTGCTGTGTTGTTTGCACCACACTGTTGTAATCTAATTGTTCTTATACTTCATACGTCAACTTACTGATGAAAATGTGTGGGAGCTTTGTCACAGGAACACTTGTTTCTGAGGCTATTTTGCTGCTTCTGGGACAGTGTTGCATGCCAGACTTCATCAGGATAAGATGCATCAGATACACAACTTTGCACTCCAGTAGACTGGGATATAGAAAATATATGACTTCACACACAGATGTACTTGGCTATTTGCAGTATTGCTACCAGTTCTTGCATAGGACACAGGAATCTGATCAAGTCTATTTCATGTAATTCCTAGCAAGAAAGAAAAGAATATGGGATGCGTTTATAATTGTGTTCACTGCATTATTGAGTATATT